ATGACATTGATATATTCAACTGTAATTTTAAGAAATGGACATTCAAAATAATTGAAAAACCAATAAACATTGATTTTGAATAGTTCATTATTTTACTGAAATTAGTGGAAACTCTAATTTTGATTATTTCATGACATTGATATATTCAACTGTAATTTTAAGAAATGGACATTCAAAATAATTGAAAACCAATAATCATAAACATTGATTTTGAATAGTTGATGATTACTGAAATTAGTGGAAACTCTAATTTTGATTATTTCATGACATTGATATATTCAACTGTAATTTTAAGAAATGGACATTCAAAATAATTGAAAACCAAACATTGATTTTGAATAGTTGATTATTTTATGATTATTGGTTTTCAATTATTTTGAATGTCCATTTCTTAAAATTACAGTTGAATATATCAATGTCATAAAATAATCAAAGTTAGAGTTTCCACTAATTTCAGTAAAATAATCAAGTATACAAAATCAATGTTTCTGATTATTGGTTTTTAATTATTTTGAATGTCCATTTCTGAAAATTACAGTTAAATATATCAATGTCATGAAATAATCAAAATTAGAGTTTCCACTAATTTCAATAAATAATCAACTATTCAAAATCAATGTTTATGATTATTGGTTTTTAATTATTTTGAATGTCCATTTCTTAAAATTACAGTTAAATATATCAATGTCATGAAATAATCAAAATTAGTTTCCATTAATTGAAGTATTTAAGCTGCTGTTATTTAATTGTCCCGTATGATTGAAACAAGATGACCACACTAATTCTGAGCTTGTTAAGAAATAACTGGAAATTTAAAGAAAGATAAAGCTGCTGGGTCAGATAATATTTACCCAAGGATTTAAAGATTGTATGTGTGAGCTACTTATTATTATTTTTTCTATGTTTTTTGAATAGTGGGCAAGTGCCAGAAGATTGAAAGATGGTTAAAGTTATTCTTTTTAATGGAGGTGATATTTCCCCAGTAATTATAGGTCTATTAGTCTTACATCAGTGATAGTAAAAAAACTTTTGAAAGTCTGATAAAAAATGATTTTCACAAAGTCATTTAACAAAGTTTAAAGTTTTGTTGGATGGTCAGCATGGTTTCACTAGAGGAAAACTTTGCCTTACTGATCTTTTTGACATTCTTTAAAGAAGTTAATGCTTATGTAGATGTGGATACAGGTGTAGATCTGATGTATCTGGATTTTCAGAAACTATTTGAAAGGCTTGTTAAAAAATTATCTTTGCATAGGTTGGCTCATTAGATAGAAAACTGGCTAGATATAAGACAGCAGGTGGTTGTTATATATGGAGTTCAGTCAAGCTGGATTAATGGCACAAGTAGAGTACCTCATGGCTCAGCGTTAGGACCTTTGCTTTTTTCAATTTACTTAGGTGAAGGAATGGTCAATAATTTATTTAAATTTGCAGATGACATTAAAGTGTTTGTTATTGCTAGCTGTGAGGATACTGCTGCTGCTTTACAAAAGGATTTGGATCATTTGGTTAACTGAATAAATAAATGAGAGATGGCTTTTAATAATAATAAATTCAAGGTAATGCATGTGGGATATCTCAATCTCAGTTATGGGTATAATTTTGATAGGAGTAACCTTATCAGTGTTATGGAAGAATAAGATATTGGTGTTCTGAGTCATCAGTCCTTTAAGCCACCCAAGCAATGAGTTGTTGCTAGTGGCTGGGCAAAATAGGATTTTAGGTTGTATCTCCAGAAATATTGAGTACAATACTTTGTAGGTTATAATGTCATTGTATAGGCTGCATTTATAGTATTGCATTCAGTCTTAGGCACCTTACCTTATAAAGTAAATCAAATTGTTGGAAAGGGTTCAGAGAAGGGCTACTAGAATGATACCTGGGATAGAAAGGTTGTCATACAATGATAGGTTAAGATCTCTAAAATTACTTTCTCTTGTCAAAAAAAAAAAGAAAGAAAGAGGGGAATTGATGATGTTGATGCAAAATCTTTTTTTTAATGGTGACATAAATATAAATTTTAGTAGAGTAAAAGTCATCTTGATATAAGAAAGCTTTATTTTTAAGGGAGTGATTGGCCTTTGGATGCAGTTAGTTTAAGGGAAAGCTTAATAAATACTTGAGTGGTAAGGGCTGGCTTTGAGCTTTAATTTAATGGATAGGACGGCCTAGGTAGACCAAAAGGTCCCTTATTGTCCTGTAATGTTACTACCACAATGTTTGTTTTTTGTTAAGCACAAAGTTTTACAATGGATTATCTGTGCTCTATGTAAAATGGATATGAAAACCAGATTCGTAGTTATAAATGTTTTGGGAACTTGTGCGAGATAGTTTTTTTTTTTTAGCCATCTCATGAGAATAATTGATTAGTTTAATGTAACTAATAAATACACATGATGATTAATTGATTAGCAAATTCCACTACTTGTCCAGCTCTAGTAATGTGTATGTATTAGATTATATAGGAGAGAATTAATACAGGAAAAGATGAGATTCTTTAATATTTGTGTGGACGTACATAACATTAAAATTATTGGATCACATTTCTGTTTATAGGTGTGTATTGGCCACAAATGGGTAAATTCTAATATGTTAATAATATCTGGTACCTACTTTTGTCTAGTTAGTAGTTGTTCATATGGTGTAGTATTTAATGTTTTCAAGATTAATACCTATTCATGCCATGACTATTTTTTGATACTCGGAAGTGGCATAAACAGATCCTTGCTCTATATCATCTTAGTTTTTAGTAAACTATTCTCTAGATAATGTTTGAGGATATCCATTCATCAAACCTTCTGTGTTTTATGGGACAACTTGCTGAAGTTATTTTTGTATGTCCATCCTTTTTCCAGTATGCCATCTTCTTGTCTTGATATTTGGTAAAAGCATTTCATCATCCTGGATTTGATTTTTGTGAAGAACTAACTTCTCAATCTTGTATATATACAATTTGAAAATATTGTGCATTTCTAAGTATAAACAAGCTTAATGTGAGTTAGAAATATATACTTATGAAATTTAATCATAAAAAATTGTCGTGAATAAACTCTTTTGCAATACTTTTCTTTAACTGTTACATAAACTCATACCAACTAACCAGCTTTAGAAATTACAATATTAACTTTTATAACTTTATACAATAAAACCATCTTTGTACTTCAGATAATTTCAAAATTACAAATAAATGCTTTTCCCTCTTTTGACAGATACATTTATATTGCATAGGTTCCATTTACAGATTGATTCCTTTTGTGTGGTTATGTAGTATATGTATATATATATATATATATATATATAATTGTTTTACTTAGTAATATGGACAAAGTGCACACTTTCATGTTTAGTGGTGTTATTAGAAAGATAATCTTACAGACTTGTTCTCTAATACATTGCTATTAGAGAATTTGTATTTATTCATTTCTGTGAATGATGTTTTCACATTTCTCTTAGACAAGTCTTTTTTTGTCTGTTGTGGTATTTGTCTTTATTTATCAATATGTTTTGCTTAGAACAATAATAGTTATTGTCATTCCACATTTGTCTCGTTACATATATAGGTTATATATCAAAATATGGATACAGTTTGGCACAAATATATCTGTTCTCTTACATACATTTTATTTGTAACAATTTTTCTTTTGGTTTTATTTCTCTACTGCACTATTTTATGCAGCTATTGTATATCCCAAGCTGCTTCTTTTTTTTTTTGGACATGAGTGTGGATTAGGTTTCCATTCAAACCCCTTTTGAGAATTTTGCTACTAGTTTCGTCTCTGCTGATCTGTTCTTTTATTCTTCTTATTTGGTTCACTTGAAATCCTTTTAGAGAACTTAAGTTATCAGTATCTTCTATCCACAAGCTCTGTCTCGGATAGGTTCATACTGGCCTGTTCTTACTTTATACCTCTACAGATCATGGTTTATTTAGTTGATCAGTCCTGTAATATTGTGTTCTATTGATGTTAATTCTTTGTTGTGATGGTTTAAGATTTTTTCCCCTCTAAGCCTGTATCTTGTTGTTTAGCTGTACCCAAATAGTGTCCAAACATGCAATATTTTGGGCTTAAATTTGTCAAAAGAAGAAAACAATAAGAAATGATTTTAACAAAAAAAGAAAAAAAAAAATGTACAGTGACTACATTTTAATTTCTTGGTCAATATAATGGTAATCTTGATCCAAATAAGACACTGCTTACATTTCTTAAGATTAACAAGAACACATATTAAGTATAAAAACAGTTTTAAAAAGTAAATAAGCACCATAATATCACAATTGCAATGGCGTTTACAAATATGTAGATTAAATTTCTTGAATATGTTTAATCAACTAAGTGATGTAGCATAGTAAGAAAAAATTGATATAGTAAATATATTAATTTTCAAAGACAATTTCAATTTAAATGTATTGTACAATTTGATTAAATAGTAATTTATATAAAAGTTTGCACAGTAATAAACTATAAAACTCAATTATACTTGTCATAAGACATTAAATTAGGCCTATTATATTTTTAACACTACATTCTTAATCACACCATTACAAACTATAAAAGTTTTAGCATTTAGGTTATATCATTACAATTGTTTTTGAATTTATAGAAGTGTTTTTGTTAGAAAAATCTGCCTGATTTTAGTGACATTTTTATGAGTTTTCAATTATAACTTAAAGGGTAGTTTCATCAGTAACAATGTGAAAGCTGGATGCTGTTATTGATTCAGAAATCAAGTGTAGGTACTTTTTTGCAAAGTTTCTTTCATAGTTCAAGGAAAGCTTGTTTTAAATGTGTGGAAAGAACTAACTGGAAGATACACATAACTGATATAATAACAAAGAAGAATTAGTAATCAATAGAAATACACTACTGAGTTTGAAACACATTGCAATCAATTAAGTAGCAACACTCAGAAACATGGGTTTATGGCAAGATTATAGTTCTGTATGATAAATATTCATATGTACAATATTGCAAGCATACCCACTGTTTACATCACATCAAGAATTGTGATATTTAAATTTCCTTAATTTTTTTAAAACTAAGACTAGAATTGACATTTACAAAAATTTAAATATTAAACAGTCAATTTTTACATAATGATTTAATGTAGGAATCTGAGCCTAAATCCTATGGATGAAAATAACATGAATTAAAATGGTTTTTCAATCAATACTGAAAGTTCATGCAAACTGTAAACCAGAGTTTATCCCAGAGTGTAATGTATGTGACAAGTAGTATCACAAAGATCTGAAACATCAATAATGATAATTTTTTCTAAATTTTGTTGGTATAAGACTTCTCAACATAAGTTGAAAAGTAAACTTTTTCTTTTTAAATATAAGTGTTATAGGAGTTACTAAGATTACAAAACAAACAAAACCAGTAATTACACTTCACAAAATTACAAAAAAAGTGAACAAAAATCAGTTCTTATTTAATGGTTTGACAGTCAGCTAGCTAATTAATTTTAAGTTGATCATAAAATTCAATGTTTTAAACTTTGGAAAAACACAGGAAAAGTGTGATCAAATTTTAAGATACATACATGTTAGACATAAAAGTTACAAATATTCTGACATTTTTTTAAATGTAGCTACAATTTCAATATTTCATCTTGAGGTAACAAGTATTATTAAAAGAGGAAAAATAATAAAAGTATATTATATTAAAGTCAAAAAGTTATTTTGTACACATCGTGGATTGGTTGAAATTAAAACATTTAAGATACTATTTTTTTATATAATTCAATTAACAACATCAGCCTTTTTTGTCTTAAAGAAAGGTACGTAAAACCTCATAACAGGTTAGCTTCAAGGTTTTGGTTATAATGTCTTCTATGAACAGATAAAGACTTTGATAATTTAAAATTTACACAAATACTAATAAGCTACAGCTCACTGTATGGAATTCTGTAACTACTAAAGAGCTTCAATCTGAATATAATTATTGTCCATTAACGTAATAATTAATAGAAAAAACTTACTCTCCTTTCAATTCCAGCAGTAAGTGCTTCAACCAGAGGAAAAAAAACAAACTTGTAGCATATCAGCTAATACAAATTAATGTTAAAGAAGATGTATCATTATTCTTTGAACAAATACTCATCCAAGTAGTTTGGGTTGTCAGTAGTGATCTTTTCCATCTCCTTCAAAGCATGAACTAAATCCATGTAAGATGGAGATTGCTGCCATTGTTCTACGAGACCTTGAGAACTCTGGATATTGAGTTCAGCACTCTGAAACAGAGAGTGGTACAGATCTGAAAGGTGATCTGGTATCAGATATCGACGATTTGGTACTATGTGGTCTAGAACGTAGACTGTGGGAGTATATGGGAACCGAAGAACCAGTAGATGATCATAGTCAGAAGAGGCTCTTGTTAGATCGCTTGTTATAGCTGACAGCCCATACATAAACAAGCTGTCCAAATGATCAGAGGTTGACTTTAAGCTCTGAAAGCAACCCAATTAAGTATTATTACACATTTTATGAGAAATTTATGCAAAAGGTGATTTTTATTAATTTCCAAATCAATATACAATAAAATAAATTTCACCTGAAACTTTATACAATTATCTCCATATTTTTAACTAAAATAACATACCAAAAATTTATATGAAAATATTTCAACACGATGGGATATGCATATGTACATATAATTTAAGGACAACAAGGGACCTGGTGGTCCATCTAGGCCATCCAATCAATCCACTGAACTAAACTTTATAATAAAACATTTAAAGCCACCTCCTATCATTCAAATATTTATCAAGTCTTCTCTCCCTCAAACTCTTTTTACTGCATTCATCACATTTTATGGCAACCCATTCCAAAGACCAACCATCCTGTTAGAAAAATAAAGCTTAGTTACAGATGATTCCTACCCTGTCAAAATTAATATTTGTGTTCCCTAGTCCTACCATTCTCACCATGAAGTATAAAAAGAGATGATGCATCAAACCATCAACATTATCAATTCCCTTAACAAACTTAGGCTTCAATCAGATTCATTAAAGAAAAAATAATTTCGGAGATTTTAACCTGTTCTTATATGATAACCTTTCCATCCCAGGTATCATCTTTGTAGTTCTCCTCTGAATCCTTTCCAATAATTCAATGTCCTTCCTAAGGTAAGGAGCCCAAGGCTAAACAGAGTACTCCAAGTGTGGGTTAACCTATGTAATGGCATTATAACTTCTATCCAATATTTCTGCAGATACAACCTAAAATCCTATTTATATCCTGCAACTGCACATTGTTCGGATGGTTTAAGAGCCTGATAAACTAGAACATAAACATAATTTTCTTCCATAACACTGTTTAGGTTATTCCCATCAAGATTATACTCATAATTCAAATTGTGACATCCCACATGTATTACTTGCATTTGTTACAATTAAAATCCACCTGCTAATTATTTGCACAACTCACTAAGTAATCTAAATCCCTTTGTAAAGTTGCAGCATCTTTATCACAATCAGCAACACCCAAAACCCTAATATCATCAGCAAATTTAAATAATTTATTGACCATTCATTCATCTATGTCACTGATGTAAATCAAAAAGAGCAAAGGTCCTAACACCGATTCCTGAGGTACCCCACTTGTGACATTAATCCAGTTTGACTGAATTCCATTTGCAACAATCATTTGTTTACTTACATCCAGCCAGTTTTCTTTCCAATAAGCCAATCTATCCCCACTCCTATAGAGATAACCTTATTAACTAGCCATTTACGAAGCATCTTATCAAATGGTTTGTGAAAATCTAGATACACCCATATCCTCAAGCACATAAGCAGTTACCTCTTCGAAGAATGTCAAAAAATTAGTATGGCAAGATTTTATTATATTAAAACCAGGCTGACTATCCAACAAAATTTTAAATTTTGTTAAATGACTTTGCAAAGCATCTTTTATTAGGATTTCAAAAACATTTCCAACAACTGATACAAGACTAATAAAAAATAGTAGCAAGTAGCTCACATAACCAATTCTTCAACTTTGAAGAAAAAGAAGAATTCAATGTCCCAGTCAACTTACAATTATCAGACCTAAGACTTTCTGTATCATCCCTCAAATGGTCCCACTTGAGGACTTGGTCTTGTCAGATTACATGGAACATTGGTCAAAAAGGAATAAAGAATCTTTTGTTATAGTGTCAAATTGATAGGATATTTTTCTTCACCAGAGAAAAATCCCTAGCTATAAATGTGAATGGACTACAAAAATGTACATTAGTACTTGTTTTACTCAATACAGAATAGTACACTTCATTTGGAGGTCTTCTAACTAATTGGGTGTGGGTGAATGAAGAAATAAAATGAACAAATGGGAGACCAACATTTCTGAAGTTTTTAATATTCGATTCAGTACTACTGTTCAGATCAGAAGAACTACTATCTACCAGAATGATTAAGATGATCAGGTATAATAATTAACATTTGGTTATTAGGTACAAATACTATTTACCATACTGATAAATCTGACTAGGTCTAATAATTATCAGGTAGTTATGAATCACAAAGTTTACAGGGGCAAATAATTACTATATGGTTATATTTCAAAACATTTAATTGTTTTGTCACTGATAAATTAGGTCTAACAATTATCATATGGTTATGATCCAGAAGATTACTATTTAAATATACTGATATAGGTGACTAGTTCTAATAAATAATTACCATATGGTTGCAATTTGGAAGATTATTGCTTACCATACTTATAAAGCCAAATAGGCCATAAATTATATTTATTTGCTTTTGCATGGCCTAGTCTAGAAGAGCTGCTTCATAACTTTTTTTCTTTTCTAAATAAATTATCATCACACTTTTATGCTTCCTGATATGTTTTTAATTGTCTTCTGTTTATACAAACATATGTATGAATGTATTTTGTTGATTAGTATGCATGCATATTTTTGAGTATGACCATGCAACTAGCCTAAGGATATATATATATATAGTAGAAAGAATTTGTCAATGTCATAAACAGTCATAACTATAGCATACTATCTAACTTTGTAACACAGCTATACAATGAGTACATGTGAGCATAGATCACTAGCCAGTTGCTTCACGTATACCTTGAGTATATAGTCTTTCTACAGTTCTTTTAGTAAATTTATACGTATACAGATAACCTAGAAGACATTGTTAACAATTGGCTTTCGACTGTAAATTCTAAGCATTTTACATGGAGAGATTATGAAGACTATATGTATAGCACCATAAAACACTTGAATAATGGAGAAGGTGAAAAATTTTGTTTTGAAAAAAAGTACTAAAAACTATAATCCAACCCCATTGGTAATAAGAATAATTTTCACAATACACAGAATTATCACTTTCGTCTATTAATACTCCAAATAAATTGTACCAACACATGGTTTTATAATAATTCTTAATAACAGCAAATAAAAATTTCAAACCTCTCCTTGCTGTCGAGCCCACTGTCGTTTAACAGCACCTTCGGATTCTATAATAATAATCTTTTTGTTACTTCTACTGGAGCAGTCAACAAGTGACTGAACCCAACCTTCTGGGTTGATAATAATTTCATGTTCCTGTTCTACATCTAGAAGAACATCAACTCCAAAATTTATCCTCAGGAACTGAGCCAGTGCTTCAACCACTTGAATATGCTGTAAACAGTCACGAGAATAGAGAAATGATACAAGAAGAGGGCTGTTTCGAATAGACAGGTCTTCCATGAGATGACCTAATGTACAGAGAAACAGTACAAAACAAATGAGTGAAAGCACTGTAAATCAGAAACTGAATGTAATTACATTCAAGTTGGTTTTCAAGTGTTAGTTACAAGAAAACCAAAACCTCAATTTACACTTTTAAACTTAAACTGGGAATGAACTTTAGAGTTGTACAAGACAATAAAACAAGTGAATTTTATTCCCTTACATTTTTTAATGGACAAGTGTGTTTACAACTCCTGAAGTATTTATAAGAATTGTATTTAACTGACATAGGCCAAATAACACCAATCTAGGTTTAATAATTATCAAGTAGTTATAAACCAGAAAACTTACATGGGCAACTAATTACTATATGGTTATATATTTCAAGACAGTTAATCGTTTTGATACTGATAAAGGTAATGAGGTCTAACAATTACCATAAGGTTACGATTTAGAATATTACTACTTAAATATACTGATATAGCTTACTAGTTCAAGTAAATGATTACCATTTGGTTAGAAATTTAGAAAGGTTATTGATAATTATAGCTGACAAGGTCTATTAATTACCATATGGTTACAATTGTGAAAGATTATTGCCTACCATACAGATAAAGCTGAATAGGCCATAAAATATATTTATGGTTACAATTGTGAAAGATTATTGCCTACCATACAGATAAAGCTGAATAGGCCATAAAATATATTTATTTGCCTTTGCATGACCTAGTCTGGAACAATCAACAAACTGAAAGCAAGCTTGTTTTTGGGTGCACGAAACACTGAAGGCAAAACTGTAAATTTCTATATGTTTTATAGAGCAAAGCCACATTGAGCTATTTGCTGTATCCACCACAAGTAACTGTAGACCTATAGCTGTCCCACCAGGGGATTATAATTCTTTGACAACATCAGTTGTTTGGTAGTTTACTTATTCAACCCCACCATACACTTGTATTTGTGAGATTTATTGTAACTTGTTCTATACTGGAACTAATAATTAGTACTTAAAAAGTAGCACTGAAGCTAGAATAAATCTGTAGTACGATGTGAAATTAGGACTTGTGAGGGCACAGGAATCTGAAGCAATGTTACCTCTACAATAAACAATAATTATTGAAAAAATCAAGTTTTATGTTAGTCATTGAAAGAAAATGTTAAAACAAACAAAAGATAAATTCATAGAATCTCTGTGATCCAGTTATAACTTATACAGCTTTAACTGCTGTTACAGGATTTGGAATGGCTGAGAAAACTGGATTCATAATTTAAGTTTCTCAAAACATGGTGGAGTTCTTTGACAAGTCTGGACATATTTGATGAAAAAGACAAAGCACCTGATGTACAATGTTGTTAAAGCACAGGCCTCAATTCTAATAAGCTAGATATGTAACAATAGAAGCTTTTAAGATTGATTTTACAGCTTCTAACAAGTTAAATAATTAAAGAGTAGATTCTGCTTGCAGACTTTGATAGAGTCATATAACAGTGTATGATGTTATATACGTAGAAATTGTTAATTTTTGCAACATTTACCCTTGTGTCTATATATGTATATGTATTTTGTGTCTATATGATAATCTATGTTTACGCTTGAGTGAAGGTTTAGACACAGGAGAGAATACCTTAAAGGCATTATTAACATACTGCATCTGTCTATGAAGTTATGAATGATACTGAGCTGTTAGTGCAGACCTGATGAAGGTCTGTTCTAGCAGCTCAAAATGTCACCCAAAATTTCCTAGACATGCAATCCATTAACAATACCTTTCAAGTAGTTTGTATTTAGTTGGACAAGGATTTAATCTCAGAAACAAAATACTTTATTCTTAGCAGAAAAGATAATCAGGTTGGTGAGCTACTTTATGTAATTCTGTTTGTATATTTTCTTTAACCACAGGCAGCTTTTCAGTAGGCTAGACCCTGGGTACTGGATGTTAAAATGGAAATATATATAAAGTAAAAAGAATCTGTCAATGTCAAACATAAATTGGTTCATATATAGAAGTTACAGTAATATATTATACATATTTATTAAACATAATTTTATTTCATACAATTAAAGCTTGTTTAAACATCCAACTCACACTCAAACTAATCCTAATGATCCCAAGATTAAAGAAAACAAAGAACACAAAACCAGAATAACTCAAACACATTTATACATCATGCTGCTTTATCCGGTGTACAACTACACTGATACCTTTTGTTCTGTTGATATCAGCTGATCACCATAGGACTTTGAAAGCTCTTGTTTACTACTAGATATATCATTTGTTCAGTACATAAAAGCATGTGTTTTAAGCTCATTTGGCAAAATTTCAAAAATGTTCAGGAGTCACATTTGTGTTTTAAAACTTGTGTATTACAAATGCATAATGATCTGAAAAATGTATATACTAGTGTAGATGTTATATAGATATAGTGATTTTTAACTAAGAACTATTTTAAAATAAATATTTAAATTTGGCAATATTTACTTTATAGTGCATATGACAAAGAAAAATGAAAAAAAAAAACTTTCCAACTTTGATATCTGGGCAGTTCCAAAAGAGTCTTACCTGTAAAAAATGAACCTATTGATTTTTCTGCCTACTCCAAAGTACAGTTTCATATTTGATAAGAAACTATCACCCCTTGAGAATTATTCATGTCTTGTTTCTCATGCGATTTTCCTTCTCTATTAGTGAAATTATTACTACTCTTTTATGATGCCAACATGATTAGTAATGAAACACAGCTATAGGCAACATTTAAATATGAATGGATACAGAAAATTATATAAGCTATTTATATCCAAGTAAGGAAATTAAAAAGGTTTAAGTGGTAATTTATAGTTTTATGGTGAAACTCCTGCAAGGATGAACAAAAGGAATTTAACAAAAAGATTACAGGAACATACCACAGATATAGGAAGATTCTTTTGCCATTCATTTTGTTCCTGAAATTGTTTGTTAAATTATATGTTTGAAAGCTACAGAAATTTGTTTCTACGACAAGGCATCTGGTATTAAAGTTTAGTTATGTTTATCAGTGCTAAGCATACACTCAACTAACTATACCAAAATATATATAAACTGTGTATGCTTAATGCACAGACCTTCCACAAATTCGTACATCTTGACCTTTTATTTTCACATGAAATACTAAGGTTTTCTGCATAAGTGTGATCCGTAAATGTTGCTTTCCATTGAATCTGATTAAAAAAAAAAAGAGAAGTTGGTGTAGTATGTTTGCCTTGTGGCCATTAAATAAACATCATGGTGTAAATGCAAGGTATAGTATTCGCTGTGGTGTAAAGGCAAGGTATAATATTCCCTTATAGTATAAAGAAATGATATTCTCAATGTTGTAAATTAGAAATGTAATATTCTCCCATGGTGTTAAGGAAAGGTAAGATATTCTCCCATAGCGTACAGGAGAGGCATACTTAACAAACTGAGAGGCACATTATGTTGCTGAAAATAGTGTGTTGTAGTAATTGTTTTCAGTTTGTAGAGCAGCACCACAGTATGTATTTATTTATTTTTTATGTTTTAAAGTACCATATAAAATGCATGAGCATTTTACAAGTAACTTTTATACATACCACAGTTCACAGACAAATCACATGTTGGCTACAACTTAAAAACAGGTTCACAAAATATAACAGACAGTTTACATTCCACTGGCATGTCATCTACAGTAGACCGCATGCAACTAACAGACAGAGCTTAAGAACAGGTAGACTATATGCAACATACAGTTATCACTTCATTGATATGTCATCTACAGCTTAAAAACAGTTAACCCTTTCCAGACAGGTCACGGGTCAAAGGCCATGTCATCGCTTTTGTTGATTCACATTCAAAATTTTATTGAACTACTATTTCATGAACTTATGTCAATAAGTTTGGTATCAAACTGTAGATTATACTTCAACTTTTAGTATTATACATTATTCAATTTCTTAATTTAAAACTAAATATTAAAAAAAAAAACACAGTTAAACATCGTTTTTGTGTGTTACATGGTATGTTGAATGCAGCAATGGTTCAAATTAGATGTTTGTGATGTCAAAATACTAAGTCTATAGTTTTGTATGAATTAGGAACTAAAATTATTGATATTGGCAAGCTAGAATATAAAATAAAAACCTCATATCTTTTCTATTTGTTGAGATATCACTCATGTACTGAATCAAACACAGTGGTCCCACTCACCTCTTTCCATTTCTAGAAATGGTCCTTTATATACACTTACTTCAATATAAATTACTTACTTTCAAAACAAATTACGTACCTGAAGATGATGTGCTGGACTCGCATACAAAGCTCTGCATATTAGGATCTAGGAATTATATAAGAAAATGTTCATGTTTGCTTCTACTACATCAAAACAAGATACAAGCCTTTCTGGTAATTAATAATTTTTTGATATGTTTAAAATTATTTAAAGTAAGTAATCTATCCAGTGAACTCTGTTATTTCATTATAATTATTTTTTTTATGAATGTCAGTATTTTGGACAAACCTTTTTTATTTTTGAACATGTTTAGAAAAATACTTTTCTTTCAAACAATGAAAGAAGTATTCAAGTAACTGGAACATACATGATACAGACGATATATGGCTAAATCTAATAATGTTTTATAAAATCTTTGTGAGATGTTTTTAGGACAGGACAAAGCTTATCAACCTTATATAAAAGTTGTTTGAAACTGTCAGGAAGTTATATTTATTTTCATCAACAAACATTCAGAAGTTTTGTGGAAATTTGAAAGGAGAAACCTGTGATAAGCTATTAATTGTACTTTCATTCCTAACACGTCTCATACTACATTGCGTATGAGATACATTTCCGTTTTGATAACAGTTTAAGATTAAAAAATAATAAACTAGCTCTAAATGATCCTATCTAAGATGTCTATCATACTAAATGATGGATAGTTTGACAATGTCTGAAAAATAAAGAGAAAAAGATGCAAATCAGAATATTAGTCTCATATGAGAATAATCAATTAATGAGCCTGCTGATTAACTGATCAGCAAATCCCACTAATCACTCAGTTCTAATGTCAACACATATTATATAGAACTACTGACCCTTTAAACGAACTTTTAATAATCATAAACAGTAGCAACAGCTTCTGTTGCCATTTCTTCTTGTGCAAACAAAACATGTTTTCAAGACTACGTAACAATAGTACTGCTTACTAGGCCATGTTTGACTATGTAACAAATTCAATCAAGAGATTTTCTAGCCTCAGGTACTTCAGTAACTATGTTGTTTTTTGCAATTGTTAATGAGGGTCATTTGTTTACTAGTATAAAAGTTTTAACCAGTAAATAATATGTGAATACAAATGTTCAAGCCTTGCTTGTAACCAATATTGATCACAGGTTTTTTAATTACTCCTTTGTACAAAAATGAACATAATGTTTGTATTTGTGTTAAAAAAAAAAGACTTCCAAAATATGGCTATCATTACTTACCTGTAAATTTAGAAAAAGACATTAATATATTTGTTTTGTATATATGAAAGTAAAAGATCAAAAGTTATCTAACTCTTGCAGTTATTGTGTAAGGTTATCCCAGCCATGTGTCCAAAACAGGAACATATTTTTGATGAAAGGAAAACCACAAGGGACATATTCATTATTATTATTGTTATTGGAACTGTCCCTGAAGAATGCTGATAATATTTCAAAATAATGCTTTCTTTTCTTCTTTTTTCCACTTTTACTAAATTTATTGTAGTATTTATTTGACATAATTATTGTTTTGGAGTAGATTTATATATGTTTAACTTTTTTGTTTGCTTTATCCAGGACTTAACATTTTAGTTCCTCACAAAACCTGGTAATTAATACAATAATTGTTTTACAGTTGTTTCTGGTGAGAAATAAGAACTAAAAACAAATTTGATGTTATTTCCTTGCTATTATTATATTTTTGTAAACCACAATTTAGGCCTAACTGTACAAATATAATGATAAACCTGCACTAAGCAGAATATCAAAAATTTAAATATTACCTTTTATATGTTTTAAGACATTCGCCATTAATGTAGACTAAGGTATAAGATTCTAAAACAACCAGGTCTTGAGTTGAGGAGGGGGAGTGAACTGGAGCACTGTTCCTGTTGTAAGAAACTGTTGTGAAAACAGTACTGTTGTTAGAAAGTTTTATGAAAATGTTCCTGTTGTAAAATGTCCAAGGACATACATAAATTTAAAGAAAAGTTGTCACAATCTTACCAAGTCATATCATTTATGCAGACCTACTTCACTTTGCAACATGTCATTCTTCTACATTTCAGTTACTTTTCTGTGTCGACATACATTGTGACATCACCAAATAATCGAAATAAGAGATTCTGTCCCCCCCCACCTCATAGGGGCTGAGAAACTGAGCTCCACTTGATAACTTTACACAATCAATCCTTGAAAACATTGTTTTATTTTTCTGTCTAAAAACTCAGTCATTTGAATACTTAAGATTAATTTAAGTTTTTACATTTAATAAAAAAGACAGCTTCAATAACTCACCTCGATTTCTTAAGTTGTGTCTTCTTCGGAATGCCACTATTACTAATAATAGCAGAAGAACAGCAACAATACTAAAGGTAACACCGAGCAATACAGTTAAATAGCTGTTGGTCACCTCTGGACTTTTTAAGACATTGCTCTCTAGAAAAAGTATATATAAAATACCATCTAAAAAACACAGCAAAAACAACTCTGAGGACACACTTAGCAAAATGGTTAAGTAACTGTTGGTTACCCATGGACTTATTAAGTTGCTATTTTCTGAAAGATTATAAAACAATAAATGTGAAAAACTTAACTGAAACAAAGTTATGACAACAGTGTTAGATTTATAGCAGGTAATCACTTATGGACTTAACTTGCTTTTCTCTAGAAGAATAATATAAAAAATGCACTGAGAACAACATAACTACAACATGATCAAGAACAGCTTTTAGTTATTTGTATAATTAGTTGTTAGTAATCTCAAATGCTTTAGTTTTTTAATTTGCTAGCTTCCTTTATTTATTGTATTGGATGACTTGAAATTAAATGGCGAACAACTTAACTGTATCAACACACTGAATCTTGGGGTAAGCAGCTGATTGGCTACCTCCAGAGACAAAATAAAATCAATTTAAAAATTGTCCATGTCAAAGAGTTTTTGTTCAAATGAGAATATGTTTGACTAGGCATAGACATTTAATACTTGTTAGTGTCTTGGTCATAGGATGATAGTGCTGACAATTTTTGATCTCTGGTATAGTGCTGTGTGGACATTTATGTTGCTACTGTTCTTAGTACTTTAACATCAATGTTTTAGTGAATTTCTGTTTTTAAAATTCAAGAATAATTTGATGAGGATATTTTTTTGAAAACATGTACTTAATATTTTACAATTCAAAACGTAGTGTTCTAAGTTTTTTAACACTAACCAGAACTGGTTTTGTTTTCAAATGATGACAGGTTTTTTAGAGGAATGTTTTCAAACAAATGTTTAAAGGTACTATAAAAATTTAACTCAAAAGAACAATTGGAGAAAAACACATTGTTGTACTTACCAACCAAAGCAGGTGATATAGCAAAGTTCTTAATGTGACAAACACATCCTTTGCATTTTGGATTACTAAGGTCTTTCAAACAGTCTGTACAACGTTTATCACCTGGTCTGATCTAGAAAAGAACAATTGCAACAAATTTGTATTATTAAAATACAGACATAATTATAACCTATTATTCAAGGTTGTACCACTTATGATGTCATGCTTTTTAAGACTGTTTTTTATATTACCATTTTCCTTCCTCTCCTGTTGTTTCAAGTCATAACACTCTATCCCGAATGATGTCACATTTCACTAACTCCACCCACTTCTTCTTGAAACAGTGAAAAATGTTAAATGTTTTATATTTTCACACATACTTATATTTATAGATTTAATTTCTTTCTTATATTAGCTAGCATACTCAGTTAAAGATAATTGTTATTATGGGAATTATTATTTTTTTAATTTATTAAATGATGGTAAAACTCAAAAAGTATTAAAATATAAAGAAAATATCAAAACTATTCAAACATCTAAACAATCTTACAGGCTCCCCCCCCCCCCGAACTGTGGACATCCAACAAGTAGGATGTGCATACATAACTCAAAGACTCGATTGCGCAATGTGATACTTAACAATCAATGTAGAAAAATATAAAAATTACTCTGGTACTGAGTAATCACATTAACAAAAAGCTAAGTGTGTCTCATAAAGGTATCTAAATGGACATCAAAGACAATATCTTTATATATAACCTTAATCAAAACAAGACTGAGTTATTCTTTAATAAATTTTTCTTTACCGGCCTTATAACCACAAGTTTTTAGTTAAAAGAATATATCATCTCCACCCTTTGCCTTACAGTGTACAACATGGAGCTAGCTTTTTTATTTTAGTTTTCATATTAGGAATCTACAAACAAAATATAAATTGGAAAACTGGAAAGAAACATAATAAAATACTCACAGCAATATGATAATCTACTCCAGATGTCAAATTTGAAAATGTTTCTCTAACAATGGTGTTAGTCTAAGTAACATAAAAAACAAACAACCAAAACATTAAAATGTATACAGTATATACAAAAAAGAAAAATATATATATACACACACAATCATATATTTATGTAAATTGTACAAACAGAGAAATATGGTTGGATTTAATAATTACTTTGAAACTTCACAAATAAAAAAAAAATATAATATTGACTAGTTGTAGTTAAAGTTGGTAACAGTGATACTCAGGCTCTTTTTACTATAAATGCCTTTAAATGAAGTGACGATTATCTTCAATTTTGCATCTTACTGTAATGGACGTAGCGTGTTTGTGTGTATCTATCTATGTATGTGACCAAAATAATAAATACAATGTGGTGCTTTCTATTAAATGGCAATACAAGCAAAAATCCATAATAAATTTCACACTTTTGGTATTCAAGATTCAGACAATTAGAAAAAACTGTGGTATGTGCATCAACCATTTCTTTATAATAGAGGACAATTTTAACACGTTCGAAGTCATGTGAACCACCTGTGGGTTACAAACAATTATGTTTCAAAGCCAAATTTCTCTTGTGGCATATGAGTTTGGGACACTATGACTGCTCCTTGGTACCTATTGAATGTTTGATTTTATATATACTTAATTTATTATGTGGCAGTGAACGTGTTAAATAAAAGTACTCTCCTCACAACGACAACATGACTTTCACTCGACTGTACATGAGGGTTCAATTACTAATGTAATTTTTAAATGTAGTACTCACAAACTGGAGTTCTAAACAAAACTTATTTTTTCAATAAACAGTAGCACTTTTAATATATAAAAACATTACAGTTTATAGCAGTAAAACTTATGAAAATTTTGAGATCTGTACATTGAATCGTTTTGATGCAATGAGTTGCGTATGATTAAAGGGCACAATCTGAACACTTTTCCCAGAAACAAAAATCCTTTTTTTTTTAGAAATTGTTCACTTTTTTTTCTAAATTTTTTTTTCTATGAAGTATAACTACTATGATTAGTAACTAATAGCACAAATAGCTACCTGTAGGTGTATCTGCTAGTAAACATAATATATATAGACTGAATTGCTGCAACTTAAGAAATAAAACTGATGAATTCAACAACATAAGAGCTATCATCTTTATAATTGTAGTTATTTCCTTGCAAAGTTTTTTTTAAATCAAGAATTAGATTGTTTTTAAGAGGTTTAATTAGGTAGGTAAAAAAGACTCATGTTGATTTGGTTTGTTTCGAATTTTGTACAAAGCTACACAAGGGCTACCTGCATTAGCCATCCCATCCACAAATGTAGCAGTGACAGATTAGAGGGAAGGCAGCTAGTTAACACCACCCACCACCAACTCTTGTGCTACTCTTTTACCATTGAATAGTGGGATTGACCATCACGTTATAATGTTCCCACAGCTGAAAGGGCGAGCATGTTTGGCAATGGGGAATCAAACTCACAGATTATGAGTTGAGTAACTTAAACACATGACCTTGTTAAGTCTGACTAATTTTGGTTAGCTTAACAAGTTTTATCCAACTGCACGATTTGAAAATCTTCAGCTTCATCCCATAGTTGCAACTGTTTTCCACTACTACTTGAAGCTGGATGATTAACTCAATCATCAATTAGCATAATGTATGATAATCATTTAATTGAAGTTAGACTAAATTGGTTAATATAACAAAAATAATAAATTAATGGTTCCGATTGTTATTAGTGTCGCTTATTCAAACTATGCAAGTAACTGAAATACTACCATTATATTTGATGTTAACCACAAAACTACATATTTGGTATTGAAACCTGATTTGTAGATGTTTTTTTATTAATTCAAGTTTGTTTAGTTTTGGTCCAGTATGTTCTAGTGTTTAGGTTGATTGTCTCGTGACTTGAGGGATATGGGTTCAATTCTTTGCCACCAAACATGCTTACTCTTTCAGCTGTAGGAGCATTACATTTGTTTTTGAGTTATGGTAAAGCTACTAAGAGTCTCTGCCATTATGCTTAATTCTGAACAGCTGATTAGTTAGTTTTGAATTTCTCGCAAAGCTACACGAGGGCTATCTGTGTTAGTCATCCCTAATTTAGCAGCAAAAGACTAGAGGGAAGGCAGTTAGTCATCACCGCCCACTGCCAACTCTTGGGCTATTCTTTAACCAATGAATAGTAGGATTGACTGTCACATTATAACACCCCACAGCTGAAAGGGCAAGCATGTTTGGTGGGATGGGGATTCGAACCCATGACCCTCAGATTGTGGGTCAAGGGCTCTAACCACCTGTCCATGCCGGGCCGACCAGCCGATTAGAGGAAAGACAACTGGCTGGCAGCACCCATCACCAACTTTTGGGCTACTTTATTGTTAAATAAGGTGTAAAATCTGTGTTTATACTGAGTTACATTGTAATTAACACAATACCCAATAACCCATACTACATTTTAAATTTATCATGAAGTCAGACTAAAAATACGATGGAAAAAATAATTGTATTACTACTACTTACTTTGGTAGATATAATGGCTCAAAACACTCCTATTTACAAATTTAGAACCACTGTTGAAGTTATGGATTATTTAATCTACTGGTTTTTCCCTAGATCTGTGACTATTTACAACTCATTTCTCAAATACAGAACCAAATGTATTTTTGAGTTAAACTGATTTCTTGAACCTATGTGTTTTCATATCATCATGAACATTGTAGTCAATAATATGCATGAGGCTATTCTTTAATATTAAACAAACTAAAAATTAACTTTTTCTGCACTGTTTATGTTTAATGTTTGCAACAGCACACCTGTTACTTTCCTGACTTTGTGTTCTGGTGGAAGTTGTAACAGGTACTGGCATATCTGGAAGCAGCAACTTTCTGATCACAAGACAAATGCTCGTGAAGCATTATCTATCCACTTCATGCCAGTATTTTCACTATGTGATAAATTTCAAATATAAATAATAAAAAACAAGACTAATAAATTGATACTTCCAAATGCTATATTAATTATTTTATTAAGGTAACAAAACAAACGTGACATATAAATTTACTCCTATGCTGTACTTCATATCATATAGAATAATATTTTATAAACATACTCCATAATTTATTTTGTATAAATAGGTTTTGACTGCAATATAACCTTTATTAGGTCTAGAGAAAAAACAGTTTTTACAGTAACTCCATTGACTCTGGAACAAAAAGTCCTAATCCTTAAAGTTTTATGCCTTTTCTTTCAAAAGTGTCCAAAAACATAACCAGATGTTTATTTATTTATTTATTAGCAACATTTTGACACCCGTTATTCTCATGGGAAACTTTCAAAACAAACCTGTACACAGTAATTTTGAAGGATGTTAACCTGAAATTATATCAGGCAAAAAATCCACATTTTAATGGTTGTAATAAATTGATGTTAAAACATATTAATAGATGGTTGTGTTTATATTCTATCATAATTGTGCCAGTTTTTGCTAATAGCCCTTAATGGATGATTTATTGTAAGTTGCTTCCTAGTATTGTTGTATAAATTTAGTGATTTTGTTTCTCCAAGATGCAAAATTTGAAACTTGTTAAATTGTTTAAGTTTGTTGATGAGAACAACACCAGTATCTTAGTTTGAGTAACAGTTTCTCAAAGTATCTATCTCTTACAATCTCTTAACTTCACTGTACCATAATTTGAATCATTCAAAGATCTATACATTACTAATCAGTGTACCAGCACTTAGCTCATTATATATGGCAGTGTATCTCTCACTTGACATCACTACCGAGTAATGAACGTCAAGGTTGAGAGAAATAGCTAAACAGGCAAGTGTTAGTACATTTCACATATCCATGCTTTTCCATGTTATAATGACTGACAAGGGAGTGTTCTCTTGTTCAATTCAAAATTCTTGCAAACAGCCAACTACTTTCTTTGAAAGAGCACATAATTAATTTTTGATCATGTCACAGAAAACAGTTCAACTGTGGCATTTATAGAAAAAAATTATGTTAACCTCTACCTACTAGTAATCTCAGTTGTTGCTGTTAGATTTAGTATATTTCTGAATAATAATTAATGTCACTTAAACAACATGGTTCCCTTCTGAAGATGCTTTAAAACATTTTCAAACAGCTTTTATATGGTATGAATAAAAATTATTACTTTAAAATAATTACAAATAAACAATCCTAAAAAACAATTAGTTTCAGCCCTAGACCTACATGAAGAATCAGTTAACTTAATATGTTTTTCGTTGTTTGAACAGCCATCTTGAATATTTCAAATTTCACGAGGATGCCAGGGTGGCATTATTCAGATCCTGATTCAGTACACTTAATAGTTGTAAAAAACATAAAAAAAAACATTAGGTAGACTTCACTGCAAGATTCAGTCCAAAATCAGGACTATTACACTATTTAAACAGAACTGCAATATTCTATTAAACAATCTCTAAACTACTACTGTCATATATACCAATATATTTTTCTTTCTTTCAATATATTTTCATGAAGCATTTAGTCAAATGATGATGATTAACTTGTCTCACAAGACTGTATTGCACATATACAAGTATTGTTCTTTTTGACACCAGCTCAAACATCTCTTTTTGAGTAAAATATTACTTAATTCATTTTCTGTATTTTGATTTTTTCTGCTTTATAAAATAAATTTTTTAAAGGAGAATTTACAAGAAATATATTTTATTTAATCTTTGATAGGTTGTTTAGGCAGAGTGTTCATAATGAATCTAAATTTCAAATGGACAGAAGACGAAAGGCAGAAGACTTTCAAAACGTCGTCCTCTACATTTATAGGTTTCTACAACGGGCAGTTGCTGTCCAGTTGAAATTTAGATTCATTATATTTTATTTATTGAAATTTATGTACCTACTTAATTTTATTCTTAGGATCAGATATATGTATGCATGAATATAAAAGAAATGTAATATGTACAAGATATGTTTCTAGAGCAAACTGAGAAATATATAGCAAGATCTGTATATCTGTCTCTTTTTATCTTAAATTGTCATTTAATTTTTTTAATTTCACACACATGTAACAAAGTAAGCCATTAGCTTACTTTGTTACATGTGTGTGAAGTTTTTTAGCTTTAACATTTCTCAACTTAAGTGTGCTATTTAACATGAATAAAACATACGCAAAATTTTTAAAGTATTGGTACAGAAATAACAGTGTCAAACACACATTTAATTGCATGTAGATGTGGATCATGGAGCATGTCCAAATAAAATCAAGTGTTTGCTGTTCTTTCTCCCCCAAATGTTTTCAAAGTGTGTGTTAAACTTTATGTGATATGAATGATCATACTACACCTTTGTACAAGGAATAAAAGCTATTTTCAAGTTATATATCAGTAAAAAGTTTAAATTAACATTTTATCAGTTAAGGTAATACCAAGATTCTTAACAACATAATCATATTAGTAGTTTCCTGTGCTTCTGTTTAGATATTATGTTTTGTGTGTTATTTTCACTTGCATGATTTCACTTTTTGATGGATGTTAAACAAACAATTCAAACGGATCTAAAAACCAATGAGATTAATATTTTTATGCACATTTTATATAAGCAGAAAATTAAACAAAAAATTTAAAAATTAAAACCAGAAGTAGAGATTTCTCTAGAGTGATTATCACAAACATAGAACTGTAACCTACTGGAGTCACATTTCTCCAAAATGATCCTTGCCAAACTTTGTCATCCTCACACTTTATTTCTTCTTCACTAACAAACACCTTATAGGTCTCGAAACAAGTTAAATCTACATCAAAAACAACATCCACAGTCTTCCTGAAAAAAACAACAACATGAAAAACAAACTGGTTTCCTTGAAAAACAATAGATAAAATATAATATATGTATTTATTTAAGAGAAAAAGTTTGGTTTAATTCAGTGGTTCTCATAATTTTTAATATTTGAATCCACTTAATTTTTTAAATCTTGGTAAACTAAAATGGGACCTATACACTGAGTTAGTACTGCTTTTTGTAATCATGCAACTTTCCACAAACAACATGAAGGGAGCCTGCGAACTATACATTTAGAACCACTAGTCTAAATCATTACACATGAAAAATTATTTCATACATGCACTGATAGTTATTATGTATATAAAGAGCAGATTCTTCTAACAAATACAGATACAACAGATAGTATTTTGTTCAGATACAGAATATCTGGCCCAGTAACTGAGTATTTAATGGCTGAATAGCTGACACATTTACTTAAATAGTTTTGTTTGTTTCCAAGGACCCTGAAAATTATGGTGCATACAGAAATATGATATTTTTTACTTTTTACAAATTATTGTATACATTTCCAGAAACAAAATTTTTTGAACACTATGGACATGCCCAATGCTTCTTCAAACCTCAAACTCTTTAATTTTAACTTCTGGATAAGAATAACTGAGTGAGAAATCTTAAGGGAAAAATGAACACTGCAGTGTGCCTTCAATAATAAATAATAGCTGATAGTTTAACATGATATACTGATATTATAAGAATGCAAAACAAAAATATACCTAGGACTATTAAATAGCTTTCCTGACAGTATATAAATGAGAAAACAAGGCCTTATGTTAAAAAACAAATTAATACATTTGTGTTTCACAAGTTTTGTTTATTTATAAGAAAACATCGAAAAATATCAAAATTGAGCAGATATGTGCACACAAACACAAAACACTTCACTGGTAAATGAGTTTAACAGTTTTTGTAATCTTTGCTCAAAAATTAAACTTATTAGCTTTACTGCTATTCTACATTAATAATTATTAATTAAATAACCTTAATTTATTACTTATAATTTACTGCTTCCTAATATCTAATATTTATAGTAGGTTTCAGGTTATACTTTCCTTGATAAATGATATGTAAATTTCAATAGTTCATCTGCTGGATAGGTACTAATATCTGGTAAAATAGATATTGAGCACTGACCAAGTATCAATTATTATCCTACTTATAATAATATTAGATAAATCCTACTTTTGTACAAGTACATGTAGACTTGAAAAAAAAAAAGGTTGGAAAAGCGTAAAATGGCATCTATTCTCTATTTTTATTCTTGAAAACGATAAGTTATAGCTTTGTTAATAATTTTAAAATACTGATAAGTACAAGATATTTCAAGGTATATCAGTTCCAATAAGCTCAGCTACATCAAACATGAAAAATATTAAAATAAAAAAGTATAATGGTGGATATAAAAACAAAATTAAACTTAGCAATATCTGCTACCTAAACAAACAAAACTATTTAAGTAAATGTGTCAGCTATTCAGCCATTAAATACTCAGTTGCTGGGCCAGATATTCTGTATCTGAACAAAATACTATCTGTTATATCTGTATTTGCAACATGAATCTGCTTCCTATCTAAATATAATCAACATCAGTTTTGTGATGCTCCTTACCGTTAACTAGATGGACTAAAGAGAACTTAATCCAGCTTTTAGTTGTTTATGGTATAGGATTGTGTTAGGTTATGCAAGTTAAATGTTTCACATCATAATAATACAGTAACTTCATCCAAGACATATCTACAATTTTCAATGGAAGTTAAGAGCCTCTCTTGACATCATACTGACAGTATTTTATAACAAACAATATAAAACAATTACAAGACAATATTATTTCACAAATGTAATGGTTGACTATGTATAAGGTTCATTATTAGGTTTTCAGGCACATGTGAATGACTTTGTTAGACTATGTAAGGTTCATTATTCAGTTTTCATGTACATGTGAATGACTTTGTTAGACTATGTAAAGTTCATTATTCAGTTTTCATTTATATGTGAATGACTTTGTTAGACTATGTAAGGTTCATGATGCGGTTTTCATATACATGTGAATGACTTTGTTAGACTATGTAAAGTTCATCATTCAGTTTTCATGTACATGTGAATGACTTTGTTAGACTATGTAAAGTTCATCATTCAGTTTTCATGTACATGTGAATGACTTTGTTAGACTATGTAAGGTTCATCATTCGGTTTTCATGTACATGTGAATGACTTTGCTAAACTATGTAAGGTTCATTATTCAGTTTTCATGTACAAGTGAATGACTGCTAAATTATGTAAGGTTCATTATTCAGTTTTCATGTACATGTGAATGACTTTGTTAGACTATGTAAGGTCCATTATTCGGTTTTCATGTACATGTGAATGACTTTGTTAGACTATGTAAGGTTCATTATTCAGTTTTCATGTACATGTGAATGACTTTGTTAGACTATGTACAGTTCATTATGCAATTTTCAGGCACATGGTTTCAGGGGAGAAGAGGGTACAGTCAGAAAACAAAGTACTTTTGTTATCACTGATGAGTTAATGATAGTTAATCATACAAATAATAATAGATGGAGTGCCTTTTACTTTCACATTATTATATTTCCATGTTGTTTTGGTTAAGTTCCTAGTTTCTAATACAGACAAATATTATGAATATATTTTAATCAAATGTTTATAGATGGATTTGAGATTATTAAAACAGTGGGTGGAAAGCATTTGGGGTGGGACATCTATTGCCCACCCATGGAATAGGGTCACTGCTTACTGGGTGGTCTTAAATCTGACAAAAACAATTAACTTAAATATTTTTCATTATTTTTATTTTCACCCGAGAACCAATTTTTTTTTAGATGACCAACAGAATTGTAGTGAGAGTTTTACTTACAAAGATGCATCTACTTCAAAATTAATATTCTGATTCCAAGTAAAACAGTCCATTTTACCTGAAAAATCAAAATATATAGATATATAAACTTCAGAAAAAAAAAGTTACATATATCTTGCTACTTTCACTATACACATCTTATGAAATAAGCAGTGTAGACTTGCAAACATAACCAGATAATAATTTTTCCCCTTCTCACAACATAACTCTAATGATTTCCACAAAGTTAATTTATTAACTTAAGTTTCACAATCTCTGATGTTATTGTCAGCATATTTATTTATTTATTGTCCCTATTGTGAGTGTCCACCAATAAACACTCATCATTCAGTGGCTGGTAGTTAGCATTATCTATTCACTTCTTAATTTTTCCCACTACTCCTAAAGTATTTAAATAATTAAGCTATAGTGACACATAGTGAGGCACCTTACCAAAGGCCCTCAATACAAAATATAGAAATTCAAAGAAAAGAGATGAAAAACCTTATACACAAAATATACTGCAGAATCATTAATTACATTTCAACTTCCCAAGCACTTCTATTAATTACTTCTGACAATATATTACAATTCCTTTCTCAAGAAACTAAGCAATGGTAATATGTTGATCACTAGAAATTTCTTCAGTGTCTGAAAAATAGAAACAGAAACAATATACTAAAAATAGTTAGAACTTTTAGCTAAGTATTTGTCTTCCCTGATAAGTTCCCAGTAAAATCTCTTACAACCCAAATATGTCACTGACTTTCTCTTTCTTTAGCAATTACCGAAAACATAAAGCCATTCAAATCAAATTTGATGTTATGAGCCAGAAACTTTTATAATTCACATAAACTTGAGCTAGATTTTTAAATTTTTTGAATGTTTACATTTCTGTATAAATCTTGGGATCCTCCTTATTCTTGAATTTTGTGCTCTCATTAGTTATGCATATTTCATTTGTTACAAGAAAAATTCTTTCATACATCCCTTAAGTAAAAATGTTTAGGTTAGGATATAAATGTTTGGTGGGAGCACACACATTTTCAGGTAGGTTGACCAAACCGTAAAAAATAATAATTCAGAAGCTTAATTTAATATTCTTCACATTCATATAGTTTAGTGGATGGGACAAGATCTCTTTCCTCCAATTAGGGTTCTTCTAGTTATAATTCTCAATTTAAATTGACTTTAGTAAAATCTATCACTGTCACATACTTTAGTGCTCACTTCACTTCTGTAATCTTTCCTCCAGTCTAATAGTTGATCAGTGTTATTCCTGTCCTATATTTTCATGTTCATTCAATCTACATACTATTTCACTGATTACATTATCCAGAGATATTACCAGGTTGTCCAAGACCTGGGCCTTAGAAACTAAGAGGTCCATTTTCTTATTAAATATACCACTGTGGCATGGAATGTAGGTCATTATCAGTTGAACATTCAAGTCTGTCAGAGGCTTTACTAGTGATTTTTTGACAAAATCTGTCTCCAGTTTTGTGATCAGGTGTAGGGAGTCTGTGAAAAGTAGGATCATTATGGTAAGCATACTTTTACAAGTTGCTAAAGAATGATTACAATTACATTTGTCATAGGACATTAGTATTAGACCTATTATATCCTTAATATAAAATACAGCATGGTTGGAATACTATTATTATACACTGTTCTTATTCTTGAAAATTAAGATTAAGAATGTAGTGTTTAAAAATATAATAAGCCTAATATCGATGTCCTATGACAAATGTAATTATAATCATTCTTTGCCAGATTGTGAAAGGAGTACATACAGTAACAATTGTTATTGTATCAAATGGCTTATATAAATAGTGTTTCAAACACTCCTATGCTTGTTATATCCCAGTGGGCCTGAAGAGCTCTGGATTGAGCAAAATGTGTCTGTTGTCAGTAATGGATATGAGAAATGTAGTGTGGTTGGAATACTATTATTATACACTCTTCTAATTTTTGAAAATCCCTAAGGGACTAGATTAAGAATGTAATGTTTAAAAATGTAATAGGCCTTATACTAATGTCCTACAATAAATATAAGAGTATGATCACACAATATTTTTCACAGATTAACGGTTAACCAGACAAATACATCTTCACATGCTTCATATTCAGCTTCAAAGGAACTACACTGCCCAGTATTTGCAATTTACCATTTAAACAACTTCCTTGGCATCAAGGATCCACAATTTGACCAAATTCAGTCTCTTATATTGCTTCAACTGCCTCCTCTCTCTCTCTCAAGTACTGATATGTCAGTTGAAATATGTTTGTGCTTGCTTTAAGTAGTGCTTGGCTGGCTATAATTCTTTGTCTTGTAGTAATGCTGTTCAAAACAATTCAGAAGAGTAAAATGTTGGTCTGGCTGCTCTCGTTTCATGGCTGTACTCTGCACCCTTCTGTACCTTAGTTATTTCTGACTTTTTCAATGATTAACAATACTCAAGCTTATCAGAGAAGGACAAGACTATTCACTGTTTTCTTTCTCAGATGTTCAGTATGTGCAGACATTGTAACTGTGTATGGTTCATCACAACATACAGAAAAGTCACAGAGTTCTTATACAGAACTCTTCTGCTTGCATACGTCAGCATGAAGAGAAGTGTCTGCTTGAGGTCTGGTTGTAAACATCGAACAAGCTTTATATGGTTGGATTGACATTTCATTATATACAGTCCACTAGAAGATGTTTTTTATTATAGCTTCTTGCAGATCATCCACCACAGTCCTGATTATTTGGAGGTAATTATAAACAATTAACTCATATTCACTAATATTACACATCATTGTACTTCAATAAATAATGTGATAGTGTATTATTATGAAACATTCACACAATTATAGTTTTCCTATATATATTTTAAATTATTGGTATTATTACTAACATATAAGAAACCTTTAAATCAGAACAACTTCTTATTAAGTTTGACTTTAAATGTATTTTAAATCCTGATTTATGTCATAATATTTTGTATATAAATTTTTAATATGAAAATAAGTGGTACAGGATCTAAACTGGATGCCCCCTCTCCCGTGGTGCTGGTCCTACTTCACTATTCCACTGGCAAGTGTGAAATGCTTGCAACAATTATTTCATCAGCACATGTATATTAAGGAAGATGACAGGACTCAGTGGGGATCCTCATATCAAGTTCAATCTGATTAAAAAAATTTCATACCTCCACATGGCAAATTTCAACTGACAGTATCTGATGTCTAGAATAGTTAATATCCATCAAAGGAAAATATTCAAGATTCCCAGAACCTTAAGCCCCCAAAAATCCACTCAACTTAGGCATCTCCAAGGCCAAACAGTCCAATAGCACAGTGCCCGTGCTGTGATGACTGCTGGATGCTTTGCATGATTGCCCTGATATTTGAGGTTATGGATCTCTTTTTGGTCTTGTTCCTCCGAGACAAACAACCTTTCTCCTCCCAGTCTCACATTAGTTTTTTTGCTGCTACCTTTTTCATGAGCTTTACCCAATATATTAAGATAAATAACTTAAGATTTCTCTTTAGTGATTCTATGCTGGCTCTCATTTCATTGTGTAAAACTTCTTTTATCAGAATCTAGAATTTTTTTCGACTATAGAAGTAAAATTAACTGGCCTTTCATTCTATTGTTCTTTTCTGACAAAGAGCACTACCTTGATGGCTTGAGTGTCTTACCTATCACCAGGAGTATAGCAACTGCTTCTACAGACCCTGCAGTATGGGGTGGGGGCATAGTGCTATATTAAATCAAACATTAAGGGGGCCTGATGAGAAAATTTGTAAGGTGGCCCACATCTTTTTGCACTACACCTCTGCCTATAACTATATACCAATATTTTTTTCTTCAGTCACACTATTTAGTGGGTTATCATCCATATTAAACATGTAACCCAAATGATAACCTAAGTTTATTATCTTGCCAAGTATTTGTCCAACTTAACAACTGATCCAAGTAATTCTGTATCTCAACATCTTCAATACAGCTATAAGTACCCAAAAAATTAATGTCATCAGCAAACTTGTACTAAGATGCTAAACATAAATATGAAACTATATTTATCTTTCAATTCACCACATGTCACAGAATTGTAAAGTTTTAGGGAAATTAACTCATCGTTAGCAACGATGAGGGGTGGAATTTCACAATTAGTACAATTCACTGACAAGTGGTGAAATGAACAACAGACTGAGCTTCATACTTATTTTTAGTTCCTTAAACAAGTTATCTGCTGAATAATTCAAAAGTATAAGTTACTTGTATCAATGCTACACATTATTCAAAAACCTATGTAAATATATGTTTACTATAGTAAGTAAATGACAACTAAAAATACCATACAATTAAAATTTATAAGCCTACTAGCTTTCTAAAATTTCATGTTTATATCAATGCTATTAATGTGATTAACAAAATGCAAAGGCCCAAACAATGACTCCTGAGGAACAAAACAAATATTGAAGGTCCACTCTGACTGGACTCCATCAATAACAGTGTTTTGTTTCTTTCATCCAGCCACCCTACAACCAAATCAACTTGTCTTTTCCCAACAGCCAATGATGTGATTTTTGTGGCTAATTTTCTGTATGGAATCTTATCAAAATCCTTTTTAAAACCTAAGTACACACAATTCTCATCCAGATGACAAGTAACATCCTCATTAAAAGAAAGAAAAGATAGAAATTATCATGGTCAGGTTAATCTTCATGAATCTATATTGGCTGTTTTTTTATATATTATGTTTTACGAACTAATTTTACAAATCTTCTTTTATCACTCAAGAGTTTTCTTTACAACAAAAGTAGGATCAAGTGGTCTATTATAAATTCCATATCCGTTACTACATCCCTTCTCAGCACATCTCTACTGTCCTGATCTACCAAGATGAGATTGAGAGGCCTGCAAAGTTTGACCTCTTTTAAAAGTCTGGGAAACTATTGTCTGGTCCCAGTTTTTTAATCTGTTATTATTTTTACCTGTCATCAATGAATTAATATTAACATGATTCAAATCAATCCAAGTATTTCCCATAGTACTTGGAAAGCTCAGGCTTAGCTCTTGTACTAGTGCTAGTTCAGTAGTTGGGCTGTTAATATACTTATCAGCCCAAGTACTAGCAGAGGTAGTTAGGAGTCAAGAATATTGCTAACCTCATCTCTTGCATAAACAAAGGATATTACTAATATTTTTTAAAAGCCAAAATCTATCCCACATTACTTCTTAACTCACTATCCCATTTCACTAATGCCTATTATTAATAGTATTAATAAATCTTTTCTCACACTCTCAAAATCAGAAAATTTAATTTAGGTGTATTTTGTATTATACAAACATTTCAGTTTCCAAACTTAATATGGAACACTTTCGACCTGGACAAATTACAATTAATAATTTTCTAAAATTAAAACTTTTGAGTTTTGTTGAGCAAGTGCCAAATTTTATTTAAGTTTGAATTTGTCGAAGTTTGGAATCAGAAATGGTCTTACTGAGTTGTTGTCTAATTTAATGTGCTAATACTAATACTAGTGAATAATACTATAGCATATAAACATGGTAGCGGTTTCAAAACATCTAAATTCTATACTAGTTTACTACTAATTTATATAGTTTCACCTATACTATATTAGTACTACTACTATAGTATAGGTGAAACTATATAAATTAAAACCTGAAAAATGTAAGTAAAGTCATACCTGAGTTTAGGCTAAATCAGCAGTACCATGTATTCTCCTTTTGAAAAATAAAAGTATTCATCACAACAGGATTTTAAATAGTCAAGAGCGAAGGAAACGTTCAATAACATTGCTCATGCGGTATTTCCCACTGTCAGAATAGAGAGAACGTGATATCAGCAGCACAGTGAGCACACTATTGCGTATACAGCGCGCCTTTTAAGTAACTTATAAGGCTGAGTAAATATAATATAAGTCATAATAAGAATGTTGTTTTCGGCAGGTTCTTTTGAATTATTTATTAAAATAATACGTCGTTGTTTGTTATTATGCACAATGTAACACAAAGGGCTATCTGTGCTCTTCCCACCACCGGTATCGAAACCCGGTTTCTAGCAACATAAGTCCACAGACATACCAGTGTGCCACTGTAGGGCAAAATAATACGAAGTCCCGTCTAAGTAAGAATAATAAATTAATGTTTTTATTTTATAACGTTTCTACAGTTTTTTTTTTATTTTGAGGTTATTTTCTCTTCGAAAACAAACAGTTAGAATTGATGTTATTGTGGTAGTTAAAATTGTTAAAATAATTTAAAATGTTGATGCATTATCATTTTTCGTACTTAATAATGGCGATAAAAGTAAAACTGTGTAGGGAATACAAATACAACTTTTGGCAGGGTAGGAGTAATTTTCAGCTAAGACAGTTTTATTTTTTTCTAAAAGAATGGTTGGTCTCTAGAATTAGTGGAGCTTGCCTTCAATCATATTCATTTTTGTTCTTTTCTTAATTATCTTTAAATATTTTGTCTTGTTCTTCTAATTTTCTTTCTATTTCTTTTTGTTCTTTTTTTAATGTTATATAAATTTCTTCTTGATTTTATTTAAACTTTTTATCTCTTTATTGTCGGTCATATTTCAATTTCTGTTTCATTATTTGTATTCTTTTAACTTTCTGTCTTGTTCTTCATGGTATTATTTTAATTTTCTGTTGCTTTTTTTCTTGGCCTTCTTTTAATTGTTTCATCATATCTAAAAAACTTTGATCTCACCTCTGAATCGGATAGTTAAGTTGAAACTGAGTCAAGTTATATAATGGTTGGAGACGGCTTGAATGAGTAATGAAGAAAAACTTTAATATAAGTTTAACATAACAGCAAACGTACAACGTTTCGACAAGGTTTTGTCATCATCGGGTACAAGTAATTTACACTGACACGGATATATATATATAGTAATGGCTGGAGACGGCTTGAATGGGTAATGAACTTTAATATAACAGCAAATGTACAACGTTTCGACAAGGTTTTGTCATCATCAGGTACAAGTAGTTTACACTGACACGGATATATATATATATATATATATATATATATAAAGAATAGAACAAATAGGTCACATG